AGATCGATGAAAAAATTGATGCTACAGCTGGTCGCAAAGTCAGTGTTTTGCTCATCAAATTTGTTCCATTTTCAGATGCCTTCTTCAGCTTTTTATGCGTTTGTTGTATTTATGCAATGCAGAAAACGCATATTAACGGGAGGTTGTCTGTGTGTGCGCTGTCCATCTGTATCGATTTTGATCTCGAGATTTACAGAAGCTACAGAGCTGAAACTTTGGAAACTTGATCTGCATGCATGTACGGACCCCCATCCCCAAAATGGGCGGTCTTACCCTCGTGGGTGCACATACAGGCCCATAGAAGTTTTTGCGGTAAGTTGCTGACTTGGGAACCAGGAAAGCTAGAAAGCTGAAATTTTAAGGGAATGTTCCCCGTCTACGTAAGTCTGAACGAACTTCAAACCAGTCCCTGGGCACGCGTGGCACCCACGTGCTGGTCCGCCAAAGTTTTTTGGGTAATTTGTTAACTCAAGAACCTGAAAAGCTAGAATGGTAGAATACTTAGTCGAATGCGTACCGGTTGCCGGTATGAAGATGCGTTTTTTGCACAGTTCCCCCGCAGGTTTTTTTTCGCCGGTGACACGTTCTTCCCGGCAGATGCTTCTCGCTAAAAGAATTGGGACTGGCCACCACACTGTCAAAAAATTATTGTAATGACTCCCACTCCATGCCCAAAAAATTCAGCGCTCTGGATGCTTCGGTTGCGGAGTTACCTTAAATTCCACCTGTTCATGCGTGAGTGGCAACGTGAATGATTTCTTTGCCCAAGATTGTTCAAACACGGTCCTGCGCAGCGTTCAGGAACTTTCAGCACTCCACTTCCTCTGGTTGCAGAGCTACGTCAGAAAAAATTTCACGTGTTCGTACGTGAGTGGCGACGTGAGTGCTTTCTTCGCCCGCGGTTGCTCAACACGGTCGTGAGTGACGCTCAAAAAGTTTCAGCACTCCAGCCACTCTGGTTGCAGAGTTACGTCAAATTTCACGTGTTTGTACGTGAGCAGCAACATGAATGCTGTCTTCGAGTGCATTTGCTCAAACACGGCTCTGGGTAACGTTCAGAAAGTTTCAGTACTCCAGCTGCTCTGGTTGCGGGGTTATGTCAAATTTCACGCGTGTACACGTGAAACACACGTGAGACGTGAAAATGATGTGGTAAGACGTTTTTGTGTGCATCTGGTCAAAGGCCACCGCCAGTTGTGCGCAGAAAATTCAGATCCTCTGGCTGGTTCAATTCTGAAGTTAAAAAAGCGCAAGTGTGAAACTTTCACGTTTTCGTACGTGAGATGCAGAAGAGCCGACAAGTAATTTAGTTTCACAGAAATAACAGTGGGCGACAAGTCACCCTGCAAAATTGCAGATCTCTGCAGCTTATTAGTCAGCATAAATCTGGAGTTGGCATGATGCCGGTTTAAACTTCGTCGTTTGCGTACGTGAGACTTGGAGGTGCGTGAGTGGCTGAATTTGAAATCTTTTA